ATATCTGGTCAAGGTTAATGAAACCTCCATGTGTAAATACCTGTCATACACCTGGATGTTTCACTGTTGCCTTTTAAAAAATCATTTTTGTTTGTGTTTTTGTTAAATTGTCAACAACATCAAATTTGATATGTGGAAGCATCTCCACAAGTTCTGCTTTGAGCCAAAGGTCAAGGTGTCTTTTTATTCAAATTATCTCTGTACATAGTAAATGTATAGTTTACTATTGTTTCTCCTCAGACAGCTCTTGTTATACTTGTGTATTGTGTAATTGCCAATACATTTAATACTGGGAGAACAATGAAACTTGCTAATAATGCACACACCTTGATATTTTGTCACATTTTTATTGGAAATGAGCTGAGTTATGGCCCTAGTTTTAGCAAAAATTAGCACTTTGTCTGTATCCCTGAAACATGCCTCAAGTTTTATGTGATATACCTTCAGTGGTTGTCACGATGCATGCACAACATTCACTAGAAATTTGTTAATGTGGAAAGGGGTAAAACAATAATTTAATCAAAATCCATCTGAGGCTTCATACAGTCCAGAACAGACACCTACCATCAGATCAAATAAGCTGCATCACGACAAAACCAACATATTGGGTTTGCGACCAGCATGGATCCAGACCAGCCTGCGCATCTGCGCAGTCTGATCAGGATCCATGCTGTTCGCCATCAGTTTCTCTACCTGTAAAAGAGTTGGTAAGCGAACAGCATAGTTCCTATAAGACTGCGCATAAGCTCAGGCTGGTCTGGGTCCATGCTGGTCGCAAACCCATTATGTTGGTTTTGTCGAGACGCGGCTCAAATATAGTGTGTAAGGTTTCAATTTCCCATGTAGTCCTAACCACTATATTCATATAGTTTTTAACTTTTTTTAAAAATATCTGGTACTATCACAGGGGGTCGAACGTATAGCGGTGCGATACTCCTTTAAGCGAGGTGATTTCATGCGATACGCCCTAATGGCGGATTCACCCGTGTAAACACACGTCAGAGTGAGTGTTTTTTTATTAAGTATTTCATAAAGCTTCGATTACAATTGCATATTTTGTATTGAGGATGTGAAGATAGGACCGACACACATTTCATCAAAATTACAGAGGCCTAAATTCATAATTAAACAAGGAACATCGCAATGCGATGCAACCAGGTTTTCAGCAAAATATTTCACAGAAGCTTCGTCATGCAGGGCATTTGTTTTAAAGTGAACACCCGCCCGCCCACCCAAAATCACAAAAACCGGGATGATATGCACAAGGACTCTTGATGAGAAAGCTTCTGTGAAAGTTTGTCAAAATAGTTTGTAGGAAGAGGTTTGCAAATAAGAATTTGTTCACTTTATATTCATATATTATGGAACAAAAACAATATATTTCTATATAAGGGAAAAAAAATAAATGGCAATAATTAGGTCAAACATTATCAAATCTCATAACCCTGACAACATGCAGCAAGAGTTGATGACAAAGCTTCTGCGAGAGTTTTGTCAAAATCCCTAGAGAATTGTAGGAGTTGCGCACAGAATTGCGCAGAGAAGAAGTGTTCACTATATATATTCTGTATAAGGAAAAAAAACAAAGGGCCATAATTAGGTAAAAAATTATCTAATCACAAAACCCCGACAATATGTGCTATGGCACTTGATGACAAAGCTTCTGTGAAAGTTTGGTCAAAATCCGTTGAGAAATGTAGGAGAAGTTGCGCACTGTAGAAATTGTTTCACTATTATATTCTGTATAAGGCAAAAAATACACAAAGGGCCATAATTCGGTAAAAATATTATCCAATCACAAAAACCCCGACAATATGTGCCAGGCACTTATAACAAGCTTCTAAGAAAGTTTGGTCAAAATCCGTTTGAGAAATGTAGGAGGAGTTGCGCACAGAAGAAATTGTTCACTATAATATTCTCTATAATGAAAAAAACAAAGGGCCATAATTAGGTCCAATATATACCAATTGCAAAACCCTGACAATATGTGTCAGGGCACTTGATGACAAAGCTTCTGAGAAAGTTTGGTCAAATTTCCGTTGAGAAATGTAGGAGGAGTTGCACACAGAAGAAATTGTTCACTATATATTCTATATAAGGAAAAAAAAAACAAAGGGCCATAATTAGGTCAAATATTATCTAATCGCAAAACCCGACAATATGTGCCAGGGGCACTTGATGACAAAGCTTCTGTGAAAGTTTGGTCAAAAATCCGTTGAGAAATGTAGGAGGAGTTGCGCACAGAAGAAATTGTTTACGCCCGCCCGCCCGTCCGCCCATCCGCCCGCCGACATACCTCAATCTAATAACCAGTTTTTTCCTTCGGAAAACCTGGTTAAAAAGTTATTGAAGGTAAACTGACGGCAGCTAATTTTGGATCGGTGAATAAAATCGCTTAATGCAAGCTTATGTTAATATAGTTAATTTCTTTTTCTTCTTTAATCTATAAGAGTAATCATAATTGAGTTGCATAGCAAGTACCTTTGTGCTCCAATATACATAGACGCTTACTGGTCAAAATATTTAAGTGTACGCTGGTTTTTGGCGCGATAAAATAACTGTACGCTGTTGAAGGTTCGATATTTTTCATTATCACATCTGTTGTACATGTTTTCATATGATTATACTAAGATATCTACCATATATGTGCCCATTTCCGGAATTCTGAAATCTTCTTCTTTCCGTAAAGACTTACTTGAAATAAAAGTTTTGTATAATCATCTATATAAGTGTTTGAACTTAATTTGAATAATTAATAACTATCCTGTGATATTTAAGAGTTGGAAAAATGTAACCTTTACTCTAAGATCTTAGATAAAAAGTAGGAATTTGACCAAAATATGTAAGAATGAATTTAAGAAGCCATGCAGTTAAGAAATCGTGTACCGGTATAAAGTAACTCACTTTCAAAGCAGAACGTTTCAGAAAAATAGCAGTTAATATGTGATATAAGGGCTGTTTTACTTCATGTGGTTCTAAGATCTTTTGTACATGCTGCTGTCAAACTGATATTTTTTTCATATCATAAATAGAATTGAACATTTCAGACAACCTATAAAATACAGTGAAAGTACATTTCGCTGCTGTTCTAGAGCTAGAGACTGAGAACCAGGTGGTAAAAATCATTAGGTGGTAAAATTCTTTTCTAAAATGTTGCTTAGAACATGCTTTTTTTGTAGTGCACATAATTGTGGCCTGTCTGTCAGGAAAAAACACAAAACTACAATTTCAAACTTCAGTCAGTCATTGGACATCAAACAGCTCAGTGTCTTTTTTAGAAACAGCTGATGCTCACATGTGAAAATACACAGTAGTAAATGTTGCAGAGCACTTAAAACATTACAACTTGATTAACAAACAAAGCTACTGCCAGATAAGGTAAAGTACCACAAGTACAAATTTCCCGAACAGATACTGTAATCTATAATACTTTTATTTACATAAAAAACACTTGCCCAGATTTTATATTGTTAAAAAGTACTGTTGGCCTGTAACAGTACAAATCTCTTAGTCACATGGTACACTTGCTTTAACAGTAAGAGTAACTCCCAGTGGAAATGAATATTTACAAAAAAAGTGAGAGGTAATGCTATACATTAAATGTTGCAGAGAAAGCCTAGTTTTAAAGTAAAACTACTTGCAGATATGTTAAATCACTAAAAGTATGAATGCTTTCATAAGCAAATACACAAAGCTGTTTGGTATACACTGGTTATGGAGTAGTATAGTTATATATTCAAAGCGACAGAGCTAATGGCAAACATCAGAATAACTGAAATACAATGATGTGCTCTGTATATAATATATAACATCCAATCAATAGAGGAAATCAAACCAGTATTTTTTCATAAATTTCAAGTTCCATTGCAAAGAAAACAAAACAAAAAAACACAAAAAAAACCACAAAAAAACAATTTATTACATGTAGTTCTCAAGGTATTGAATGAACATAAGAATGGGTGGGAGCGTTTTTCGACCAGTGCATGTAATACAATAGTTGATCTATTTCTGATATGTTGCTTTTTTAATTAAAGTTTTTTTTCAGACAACATAAATATGTAATTTATAATAGAAAAACATACAGTTATTTTTTTCTGACAACATAAATATGTAATTAATAATAGAAAAACATATTATTAAATTGATAAAACCTTTACTGAATAAATGGAAGAAACAAAACGAATATTATCTCGTGACTATTGATTATTTGATAGAATTTTAAATTTCTGTGCAATAACTTATCTCTTTTTAATGATTAACCTTTGTGAGAAAAGAATATTTAAATTAACTATATCATAGTATAATACATTAATTGAAACTGTTGTTTTAATTGACACTGTGATTTACATATGATTAACATACAAACTCAAAACTTGATAGTTCATCAATATTGAATAAGAATGTACTGTAATACAGAAAAACATACCAACATTTGTACGTACAGTTGGTTTATCGGACCAAATATTAGGCGTATAGTAAGAAAACTGGAAATAGTTTATATATGTTCGGATAGATATTGAAAACTTCTCTTGTATATCGTTTTGTTTTCAAAAATAAACATGTTGGGACTTAAACTAATCGAATATCTCGTTTTAAAACGACTGATACATTACTCGTTTGCATGTGCATATCAGGTTGACGATTGAATTTGCAGCAACAAATACCTCAATAACTTCCTCAAATTTAAAAAAATTAGTATTTTATTTTGACAATCATGCACAATTATAAGTTCTGATCAGCATGCACAATGCTATTCTTCAAAAAATTACAGTAGACAACAAATATTTGGAAAAAAATATGCTCATACCCACTTTCGTTTTCGCTCCCGTCCGCCATTAGGGCGTATCGCATGAATTCACCTCGCTTAAAGGAGTATCGCACCGCTATACGTTCGACCCCCTGTATCAAATTCTGGCAAATACAGATATTTTCTTCACCAAAGGTTATGGTATTTGTTACTGTACTACTAAAATGGTAATATAAAATAAATAACATAAAACTGGTTATTAATATATTTATTTAATGGCACAATTAAGTGAAAGTTTCTATACAGGTTACAACATAAAACAAACTCAGTATTTATTTCTCTTCTCTTGAATTCCTGTTTGTTCAGCTTGTTCTAGATTACATTTGGATTAGTAAAAAAAGTTTATCAATATCAGCATGCTTAAACTAAGCAGACAACAAAGATAAGTCTGGTTACACTATAAACATGTACCTGTATGAAGAATGGACTCTTCTCTACTGGTGGCATAAAACTGCCATAACCCCTAATACATGTATCCACTTATCCCTTAATCTGCTGAATTTACATTATGGATTTACCTGGATTTGAAATTGGAACAGTCCATTCAAAGTTTAAGATGTTTTGTTATCAAAATACAAATATTGAGCTTAGCTGGCAATAAAGAAATTGGTTAGACAGCATATGGATGTGCAAGCAGGCCCGGCTCTTTATCATGGCAAAGGCTAACACTTTTTGGTTCCAGCAGGTTAGGGACTCATGGTACAGAGGAAACAAACCTTGTCAAACAGGTACAAATCAAACAAAATCTAAAAGATAAATTTTGAAAATATACAGTAATGCAGAATCTATATGAAAAAACGCGGAGTAATGTAATGAAACTGCTGTATCTGTGATGTTTAAACAATTGATAGAACAATATACAATAATGATTCTATAAAAAGAATAATTGAAGGTTGTGTACAACAGAATAACAACAGTAATTATATGCAACAATAATAAATTACTAACATGCAGGTTATTTACATCGTAATATATCTCCTCTAGGCAACCAGGATCAACTTTATCATTAAAATTTGAAAAAAAAAATATTAAAGAATTGTTTAAAAAAGAATTGTTCAAAAAAATTCGAACAGGTTAAACAAATCTATTTGTTAATAATCATGCTAGGTAATAAAAAAACTGTTAAATCAAAAGGTGACTTCTTTATTTAACGAATTAGTTTAGAGTAAAATATCCCTTCATTATTTTAAATACAAGATGGCACCTGTCAGAGGTCCAGTTTCAAGGTCTTCTTTCCAGCTGAACAGACGAAGGAGAACCTTTCTGACCTACTCAGTTTCGCTTCCCTCTACAAATAGGAATGTTTAGATATCACGTTGACCTTGACATTTAGACAAAGTGTAATTTATGTATATATAAATAGTTGTACAAATTACAGCCAAGTGAATTATACAAGCAATAACAATGTGTATACTGGAGAGACATGTACATTGCTGATAACTGAAATAAACATATACAGTGTGACATTCAAACTACAACTAAAGCACTATTTACATGTATTATTCATACAAAAACATTTATATTGATTCTCATAAGAATTGTGAAATTAACAGATCAAAAGTCGAAAAAATCGATCTTCTTAATAGAGCATAATTTCGAAGATTTCGAAAAGTAGAACCCTTAAATGAGACAATTGTGAAATTTTTTAAACATCAACCAAATTCTTTGCGAGTACTACTTTCTGAAAGCAGCAACCCTAGTTGTAAAATTTATCCTATTGTAATGTACGCTACTACCAGTTTATTAATTAAAACATTCCGAATTTCATAAGAAATATTAAACATATCCACTTCAGAGAACTTTATTTTTGCCATGTATTCATTACATTTATAAAATAACAAAATATTTCACTATGAAACGCTTGAAATATTTTTTTCTTGAGCTTGCAAAGTTATCGCAATAAAACGCAATTCTACAAAAGTACGTTTATTTAAAATGCGGAATTTTTGATGATTGATTTCAATTGTATGATTCCATTTATTTGTTCTTATGTTTTGTTCAAACCTTACTTCAATAATGATAACGTGACGAAAAACAACTTTGCAAACAAAATACATGACTAACATTTTGTGTTAGAGTCTTTTTGACAGAACATCAATTGTCTCGGACATTACGTAATCCAGTAAAAATATTCGTTGTGGGTAATAGTAATAGCTATTATTTTTATCATTTTATTATACAATCATTTTTTAAAGTTTAAACTTAATATTATTAAGTGTGTTCATTTAAGCTTGAGTTAATAGCATGGGTAAATAATATTGTACAAATGAATTAAATTACGAGTATAACTATGTATCCGGCATACTAAAGAAGTTATATACCTGTCCTTATATTAATATCAATGTCATAAAACATATATACTGAGATTGTGGGCATATATGCAGCGTACAGAATAACAATACATATATTACAATTCATGCCTTTGATATTATTAAGGCTACATCAAATTTTAAAATTTGAACAGAACATTTCAAAAAGGGCATCTTACTAGCCAATATTGAGATAAAATGTATTTTAATTGTTAATTATTATGTGCTTCCTACGTAGTTTAAAATATTTCAATTACAAAGAGCCAACATTGTCTTTTCCTCTTCTACACTTGTAAGTGCAACTTATTTCTAATACAGATTTCACCATACATGACTGTAGAGATGAAGAAAACTTTCAAGATCTGCGTGTAATGTTCGATACTAATATTGTAATGTTTGATACATCATTGTTATATGTTGTAGACGATATCATGTGTATAATATTGTAGGTGATATATTTTAAACATGTCAGCAACTATGTTAATAGTATCTGATAATATTTTCAGTTATTATATGTGTGTTTATAATAGTAGTTTTTTTTTACTTACGCGGTGAAATGTTATTGGGGTTTGAAACTGATTTAGATGATAATCAACAATATTGCCTCATATATATTTACGCATTTAAATTACAAACACCTATTTACTTTATTTAAACAGTATATAATTATGGAATATTTTCTCAAAACAAAAGCAAAATCGCTGAAAACATTAACAAATGTATAGATTGCCATCTGAATAATTCAGTAATGTCCGATACGAAATGTAGTGAACATTACAATACCTATTATGAAAGGCATATCACTTATAATCTATATCTAAACAATTTCAGTAATAAAACCTTGCATACAGATTCTGGCTTTAGAAGAAAATAAATATTAAACGTATTATATCTTTGTTTCTGTAGTTACTAGAATCTGATATTCAGTTACTAGATTCTATAGCCTTACTTATACAAAATTAAGAAAATTTGATTATAACTGTAAAAATACAAAGGATGTATACATTTATGCTGCATCTATGATTAAGTATAACACAAAAATGACTAGTTTAAGTCCTGGTTAATTGAAAAATTAAGTATACTAAAGCCATGTTACATTTTTATTGTATTGAACATTACAGTCGCATACATTACAGACATGTGTGTATATAGATATATTATTTATTAAAAGATTCGTGGGCACAATTCTTTCAGATTTGGTTATTATAATCCCTCCAAATGTAAATCATTTATTAAAAATTCCTTAATTGGGAAATAGTACATAGAACGTACTAATTTTTAAGTAGTGAACATTACATGCTTAAGTCATCATCTCGCACAGGCTATCAAAGTAATAGACTTCTCGGTTAATCTTAGAATTTATCATAAGAAAGATAAGTCTGGCTATAGTAGCATAAGTATTTAATTGTAAATAAACATAATTATAAAACGACTTAGATTTACTAAGTTATTTTCAGTTATGTGCGGCACTTAATTTACAAGTCGCGTACATTACCGATGCCAGTAAATTTTGGGGACAGTTCTAAAACATTCTACATATGACAAAGATCAGTCTTTTCAAGTGGGTAAAGCTTCGAAAACAGATAAGAAGACATACATACTCCTGCACAAATTAATTTTTTGCCGAAATTGTATAGGTTTTTGGGGTTACACTAGCTCAAACACGAATAATCCAAAATGGGGACAGTCTCGAATATTACATTTCCAATAGCTTCCCTCATAAAATTTTGGTATCGAATGTGTTATCAATGAAGTCTATGGATCAAAAAATTTCCTTATATACTTTTTGCACGTTAGCTATCAAATAGCAAGTTTTTCTGAATCGATTATGTTCAGAGTGTGCAGCGACATCAATTTCACAATTCGCGTGAGAATAAGTGTTAATGATTTGCACGTAGCAAGGAAGCAAATATCAAGTACAGTCATTTTTATTCAAATACCAACAAACAGTAACATACTACATGTACTAAAATATGAAAAGTTACAATGGAGAAAAAATATAAAATGTATAAATGTTAACTTAAAACTTGAACAAACTACAAATGAAAGATAATGACTGACATTAATGCGACTTGTACAATTGAACATAGGAAATTACACTCATAAGGACTTTCTTATATGTATATTGGATTCTTACATATTTATATAAATGCAAGCAAATGTATATTGGTTGCTCAAGAGTATGTCTATAATCTACATAATCAAACTAAGTAAAATTAATTCTGTACAAACTTACTTTTTTTTCAAGGATAGAAAAAAAAACAAAAACCACACACAATTTTATCTCTTACACTTTCATGTCAAGAATTTTTTTTTTTTTTTTATAACTGTAGAGATTATCAGATATAAGTCATATCGAAACTGACTTCAGATACAATTACATGAAAATACAATGAAAACTAAATATTTAGTCAAAATGACAGTTTCTTTTTTAACAAAGAACAACAACTATAAAAACAGACTTGCAATATTATTTACAAAATTTCCTCTTACACAATGCCTGTATCAAATACAGGTGTGCTAATATACAAAATGCACCCTTGTTTCTTATCATAAAATCCTTCACAAATTCCTTGAAAACAGCACTACTGTTGTTCCACAACTGAAGAAATTTATTAAAAGATATAAAGGTATACCTAGAGAACAAAATTTAAAAATTCACTGATTAAGGTATTTTCAATAAGAAAATTCCACCGGTATGTTCATGTCAGATTAAGACATTAACTGGGTTCAAACAACCTGCAAGTGCACAAATAAATAAAGCAATGGGGGTATTCAGAGCTACATGTATTTTAGATTCAGGAGATAAATTTAATTACTGGTAACCAGATTAAAAACATTTTCGAAGGTGTGCAAACTTTTCTTTTGTGTTTTGAATAAAAGTCAAGAAAGTCTGCTTAAAGAGCCTGAATCAATTTTGCAGTAAATATTTGGTAACTTGGCAATTATTTTGATGGGGTCTTATAGAAACAGGTAGACAAAGACATTATGTTTATGCAACATTTACATGCATTGATCATTTTATTAGTATCTCACCCAGTTTTGCATCACAAATTCCTTCAACTTTGAATTTGGAATAGTCTACTGCAAATGTAAGGGATTTTAAGATCAAAATGGACTGTTCCAAACTGAAAGCGGGACATATCCATTACATAAATTCAGCAGGTTAAAGGTAAGAAAATCTCAGACAGTTTTTTAAGATTTACAGTGACATTTTATATGTACAAAGGTACATAACACTTATTTATGTCTACAATAACTAGTATTGCTGGCAACTGATGCTTTTTTTGCCAAAATAACTATACTAAATGACAAAATGGTATGTTTTACATAGTATAACTATCAAATATACATGTAACATCTACACACATGTAATAATTTATATCTTACCTGAATAATTTTCTTTTTATGATAATATATTGATTTATACATATACTGAATATTACACATATAATAAAACTTTATACTATGTTATGTGACATGTGTACAAACTAAGAAATCTTCTTATCATGGTTCATGCATACACAAGAATACAAACTATATAATTATGATGTTTAACCTGAAGTTAATACAAATTTTTAAATGTTATGATGAAACATGATTCAGAGTTTTACTACACAGTTATTATTTATGAATAAATATCGCTTACAAAAGTAAGGCATAATAAATAACCAATATTTCAAATTTAAATCAGTGATATATAAAAAAGAAATGTGAAATGTGCTCTCTTTTAAGCTTTTATCATTTCTTTGCTCCATTGAAAAAAGAGATTATGATTATGCTTACAAAGGTCAGATCTTTTTCCCCATTTATCAAAATGACTGTTTTGAAGTTTCTTAATCATCGGTTACAAATGAAACTTTGAAACAGTTACAAATGAAACTTTGAAACAGTTACAAATGAAACTTTGAAACAGTTACAAATGAAACCAGTTACAAATGAAACTTTAAAACAGTTACAAATGAAACTTTGAAACAGTTACAGATGAAACTTTAAAACAGTCATAAAACATCTGACACTTTATTCTTCACTGCTAAATAACATACATTGTACATTATGTGATATTTTAATACATGTATATATATTTCATGTAAAGTGCAACTAAATTATTCTAGTATGACCAGCAAATTTAATCAGTGTCATTGTTCATTGGATTTGGTACTAAATTGATTGTTTTTTGGGGTTTTTTTTTTAGTTTTGTTTTTTGTAAACTATTCAATCATTTTCAAGCATATTTGCAGTTAATTTAAGCACTTTTTATGCACTTTTCAAGGGAGTAATCAATTCAGTTAAGCACTTTTTTACATTTTCAAGCACTTGTTAAGAGACTCAAATCTAAGCACTTTTTAAGACTGTATGAACCTTGTTAAAGAAGGACTCAATGGTTCAGCAGTCAACCCTCATAATATATTGTAAAATCCCTTACTCAAAATGAATAAAGGAACTACTCAAATGAATAAAGAAATTATCAACAATAATTTTCCAGATGACAACTATTAACAACAGCTACTTCCACACTTTGTACACATTCATCATTATTAAAATAATAAATTTTCATGACTAGTATCTTTGCCTGGCAACCAAATCTCTATTGCCAAAACCCATTTTTTTTTAGATTTATTTCCTTATGTGAGATAGCATTTTTCCTTATGTGAGTTAGTATTTAACTCCTACGTTCATTTCTATTTTTTTTTAAAGTATCAAACAATTTAAATTGAAAAAGCTGATCAGTGTTCTTAACCGTTGACTTGCTGGACATATCCAGGATTTTTAGAATCTGTCCACATCAAAATTTGGGGATATCAAGATGAAAATCTGAAGTTGCTTGATATTGCTGTCTGGTCAGACAGATGTACAGGCTGGCCTGGCCATATAATGGGGGCAAGTGTTAGTCACTTTTCGGTTCCAGCAGGATGTGAGTTATGGACACTCTGATGCTGATACTGGTTTTATTTCAATTTTATTTTTATATCATTTTATCGCTGAAATATGAAATAAAACAAATTCTGCTATGATATGGTGTATTTCTATAACTTGAACACACCAGGGATTTTTATGTATTCGTACCTGCATGGACTGTGTTCACTGACTCACAGACACTTTTATACTGTTTAAATACCAACTGCTAAACCACCCATTCTTTATTATAGGGAATAAGTATGTATTATAGTTACATATTATACCTCTCATATAGCATGAACAGTCATAAAAGTTACATGCACACATTCGTCCTTTTTGCACAAGTCCTCTAGTCTTTAAATTCCAAACTTAAAAGAATCTTGTACAAATTTGTGATACTGCATTTCACCTTTGTGATAATTCACATGCAGAAAAACTTATACAGCATCCCCATCACCATCCACATCACCATTAGCTTCCACCATCTTTACACACTGGCATTTTTCTTTTTCATTTCCACATTTCACACATTTCGTATTTTCTTTGGAACAGAGAGAACGATATAAAATACAATTTTTGTTTAACTCACAGTTTCCATCTGAATTATCAATGCAAAAACAATTTTTCTTGCAGTATGGCACACAACAACATATTATTAACAGCAATACAACTAATACTAATGCAAAAATAGGTAATAAAATTGTAAGTAAACCTGGACTGTTTGACTCTGAAGGAGGATTGATCGTTCTACCATTTTCATCAGTGACTGGTGGTTTGTATGTTGTTGTCTCCGGTTTGACTGTAGGCCCGGGTTTGACTGTAGGCTCGGGTTTGACTGTAGGCTTGTATTTGATAATACATTCAGGCTTTATCAAATTTCCATCAAAACAATGAAATGTATCCGGCATTTTTTTCTCATATCCGTTCTTACAGCTCCATTCTAGTGTTTTATCATGCACCAAGTAGCCATTTACAACATTTTGCAAGGAAATTGTCTGCGAATCAGCCTCAACTTTACAGTGGCAATAGCAAGCCAAGTTTAAGTAATCCCATGCACCCTTGATACATTCAGCCTGAGCAGGTCCTGTTTTTGTCACTGGCACATCATCCCTACAGTTAATGAAAAGGTAAGGGCCAAAAGGATTTGCATCTCTTATGCATGAGGAGTTTCAAGCCTGGGTAAGGAGGGCATTTGCTTAACTCGCAGGTAGGTTTTGTGCCCCCCAAGTTCCATCTGCCCTACATTTTACATTTGGAGATCCTTTTATAAATATAGCCTTCATCACATGTTACTTCAGTAATGCTTCCATACCCATTTCTTATAATATAACTATTATCTTGAAATGTTTCACCAAACTGAATTGATCCAAATTCGCCACACATTTAATATTACATATGGTGGTTCTAGTGGCAGCCAATTCCCATTCAATTCGACAAAGCATTTTATTGCTAGATCCCACCATGTCATAACCTTCATTGCATTCAAACTGTATTGTTGTTGCCCACCTATAAGTGGGAACATTGACCACCTTCCCATTTTCTGGTGTTTCCACATGTGAACAAAAAATCTCCTCACACCTTAGGTTTCCATCTACCCATTGTGTACCAGAACACCGGTATTCACGACTTGTTCCAGCTGGGTTAAAACCAATGTCACAATCAAACCTGATGACAGTTCCATCTGCAAAAGGTCCACTTCCTGTTGCATTATTTTTCGTATTATCTATAGATGGTATACTGTTACAGTCTGCTCTGGCAGAAGAGATTTCTAAAATAAAGAAAAAATATTTGTATATACTGAGGTCATGATCCTTAAACCTTTAAATACTTTAATAAGTGTTAAAGTAGTACAGACAATACTTTGACTATATCTTACATGTAGCTACAACCGGGCATACAATTATTGATAAAACGACACCTAGAAGTACAAAGTAAGAAGCTTGCATTCTATAATACTGCTTAAACTTATCATTATACAACAAAATCCAATGGTTGATTATGACCAGTTCCACATTCATAGTAGGTCCAGTCAATTTTCAACCCTAGATTTTTTTCACAAGTCTCATTATACAATATGAAATAGAATTATAAATCACATGCCAACATTAAAGATCAAGACAAACTTCCACTAATAAAAATTCTACTTATTACAGTAATAGCTTTTTAAACAAGAACCTGTTGCACCGGGTGATGCTCCCGAAACCTCTTATAATTTCAGAGTTATGTCCTAGACAAAGTTCAAAGTGCAATAATTCCAAATGTAGGCAAGACAGGGTTACTGTTCTTTGCACTGCTCATCTACCCAATGAGATATATCTACCTACAAAGTTTCTTGTTCATATCTCTTAAAGTGTCAGAGTTATATCCCGGACAAATGTTCAAAAATGTAAATATGAACAAAGGGCAATAACTCCAAAATTAGGCAAGGCAGAGTTAGGACTCTTGATTTACAACTGCACATCATATACCCAAATGACATCTATCTATCTACAAAGTGTCTTTTCATATTTATTACACTTTCAGAACTATGTCCTGGACAATGTTCAAAGTGTTAAATGAACAAAGGGAAACTCTAAAAATAAGGCAAGGCAAAGTTATTATGGTTCTTTTGCATTGCACTTTCTACTCAATGAGATCTATCTACCTCCAAAGTTTCGTTTGATATCTAGTTACAGAGTTATGTTCCCGGACAAAGTTCAAAGTGTAAAAATAAACAAAGGGCAATAACTCCAAAATTAGGCATAACAGAGTTATGGTTCTATATGTTTGTACGAATGGACGGACAAAGTGGTGACTATATGCTCACCCTTTGGAAGCATAAAAATAAAGTGGAACCATTAAACTTCTTGAATAACTTTTGGTAAGATCTTCAAAAAGAAGCAAACTACCCTTAAGCAGTTTTATCAATTTTGGTGAACTGTTTCAGATAAGATGTCATTTAAAAGCAACTGTGAACAACAGTTGGATGGAAGTCAAAATGCCATCATTTTGACTAACATTTTATCCCACAACAACTTTTAGTTTTACAAGAGAACTTTAACCTAACAAGAACCACTGCTGGGACAGGGCAACGCTTGACTTTTTTACATTTCCTAAAAGCAAACAATTAAAATGATTTTACAAGTCTTGAAAAAGAAAACTAAAGAAAAAAATAGTTTTTCCCTTTTTTTAAATTTTAATTATGACAACAGGTAGATAGTCACACTTGTTGTTTTGTCAGAGTATGAATCATTTTCATAATGTTCCATGATCAATTTTATACCTGAAACTATGTATCTGTTACAAATTTCATAGCTTTTTATCAAAGGACAAGAAAGTACAATGTAGGTCACTTTGTCAAAATCTAGGTCAGTTGAGATCAAAGTTCAATTTTAAATATGAAACTGTTCATAGCTGTATATCAAGGACAAGAAAGTACATGGTCATTTTGTCAAATTATCTAGGTCAGCTGATATCAAAGTTCAATTTTACATCTAAAACTGTGCATATGGTCCAAATTTGACAGCTATACAGCAAAGGACAAGAAAGTAGGTCACTTCATCAAATTATCTAGGACAGCTGATATCAAAGTTCAATTTTACATCTAAAAATTGTGCACATGGTCTAAATTTCTTAGCTGTTCATCAAAAGACAAGAAGTAGGTCACATTCTCAAATTACATGTATCTAGGTCAGCTGATATCAAAGTTTAATTTTACATCTGAAACTATGCATTTGGTCCAATTTTCATAGCTGTATATCAAGGACAAAAAAGTAGGTCACTTTGTCAAATTATCTATTATTATTATTAACTGATATCAAAGTTCAATTTAACATTTAAAATCTGTGCACACACTCTAAAATACATAGCTGTACATCAAGAGACAATAAGTAGATCACTTTGTCAAATTATCTAGTTCAGCAATTAATCAACATCAAAGAAGAAAGAAAGAAGGTCACATGGTAAAATCTAGGTCAGCTGATATCAAAGTTCAATTCTACATCTGAAACTGTGCACATGGTCCAAATTTCATAGCTGTTTAACAAATAACAAATAAAATTGCATTTGTGAAAAAAATGCTATGCCACCACATAAATATAATAACAGAATATACAACTGAACTTTGCCATAATGCAGGTGTCTACACAATAAATTTGGGGTCAAGCTCGTATTTCAACATTTCAAATGAAAGACAATGTGCAGATGTGTCTAATGTTCAGATACAAAGTATTCATAAAAAATAAAAGTATAATTCTTACTTGATAACAATTTTGGTATTTACTATATTACATAGATGTATAACAGTATTAAACTTTGCAATACAGTTACAGTTATTTTTCTTAAATACTATCTTTTCAATTAAGCATTACCTATTTCTAAAAATATAAAAAAAAACATTCATGATTTTGAATCATGGTATGAATCATAATGTCCTTATAATGTGCTCAGATCATTTTATAAATATCCATCTCTCTTGCTGAAGGTCATGACCTTTTTAGGCTTTAGATAAACTCCCAGCTATTGAATCTTTTCTTAGAATAATTGCATAACAGGTACACATATATAAAAAAAAATCCAATATGTGTTGTTTCTACAATGTGTACATACATATAAGGACAACACATTACCCTTGCAGGGGCGGCAATCCTATTGTGACTTACTTGCCCATTTAATTAGAAGCATCTCTTAAGTTGTCCTATGATGTTTATATAGTAAATTCTTGAAAATATCTACTTGACCCTACAGGCTGTGGGACAACCTTGGCAATATGGACAATTGATTTTGCCACCCCTGCCTTGGGGCAGGGACAATATTGACCCCAGTGTTGTAATTTGAACAATCTTCGTAGAGGTCCATAAGACAATGCCTTGTGCAAAATATCTGTCTATACTCTAGGCTCTTTAGTTCTAAAGAACAAAGCTTTTTAAATGTTCTTATTTTTATTCCTTTGGGTTGCATTGGCAACCAGATTTTTGCATGGACTCAAATTCTTTGAACAACTTTAGAGGCCCTTCATCCAAGGATTAATCCTGGCGACACAGATTGTAGTTGCAAACAAGATTGCATTTGAGAAAAATGCTATGCCACTGCATGGTTCAAATTTCATAGCTGTGCATATGAATCCAAAAAGAACAACCACACGCGTACATTCAGTTTTTTTTTTTTGATAGCTGTGCATCAAAGGACAAGAAAGTAGGTCACATCATCAAAATCTAGGTCAAAGTTAAATTTTACAACTAAAACTGTGCACATGGTCAAAATTATTGCTGTACATCAAAGGACAAGAAAGTAGGTCACTGTCTCCTTGGGCAAGGCATAATTTTGACCCAAGGGTTTAATAACAATCTTGATACAGGTCCACCAAACAACATTTCAAGTCAAATATCTAAGCTATAGCTTTCTCCCATTCAGAAAACATTTGTTTTATTTTCTGTTTTTAATATGTGTACATAATGAGAATCACTGCCTCCGAACAGTGCCAATTTTTGACGTTTGAACAACTTTGGTAGAGGACCTATAGATGATATTTTATATCAAATATCAAAGCTCTATGCCTTGAACCTTCAGACAAAAATATATATTTTTTTCACTATATGTACATAATGAAAATCAATGACCCCCGGGGCGGAACCAATTTTGACCCCAGGGCTATAATTTGAACAATCTTGCTAGAGGTTCACTACACAATGTTTCATGCAAAATATCTTAACTCTATCCTTTGTAAATTTAGAGTAGATGATTTTTTAAGTTTTAACTATATACATATAAGATAAACCTATGGCTCCCAGGGGCGGGGCTAATTTTGACACAAGAGGCTAAATTTGAACAACT